GCCAGCATGGCTGGCTGGGGAATTCTAGGAGTTGAAGTCCACAGATCGTAAAGTGGCCAAGTTTGAAAAACACTGCTCTACAACATCCTTCCTGAGTACTAACACCATAGTCCAAGATGAGTGGCTCATCCTAATTTTGCCAAAAGCTGTTACGATACTTTTATTTCAGATCCATTTCTTAAGGACCCTTATTATTGTGGAAAGTATCTTTTTAATAATTATGGAAAAAGCAACACTTTGACTGAGTATTTGTCGAGCCCATGAACGCTTCTTTGATCAGTCACCAATCAGATCCCAGTGGTGAAAATCTGAAATCAGGATGTTTTGTGCTAATAAGCATCATTTTATATCTCCTGGCAATGACATGCAACTCATCCGTTTTGGAGAGACCCTTTTTTATAATCCTTCCTGAACGTTTTCAATGTTTTGGGGGCCCTCCTTAATCTGCCAATATCTCATTCTGTTGTAAGGGTGGTGCTGTTTCAGCTATTCAAGGCTGGCATGGTTTTGCTACATGAGAACATAATTATACAATTCATTTAGCAAGCCAAATTCCTATTTTAGGAAGGGTTCCGCCTCTGGTCAACAGTACCTGATTAAAGGGAAAATGAGATGTCTGCACTTGCCTGGGTTGCTTCAGCTCCATGGAGAATAAAGAAATGTGATACAAGAGATTAGCTAGAAGGATCAGGAAAAATGCTGGTTTGGCGTGATAGGTTGAAAAACATAAAACCTCGCTTTCAGCTAACGTTTTAAAAATAAACACATGCACAGAGCTTGCCTGTTTAATTTTAGTGAGCAAATTATGATGGACCATAAACTGATTTAAAATTGATGTCACGATAATTTTGTTAATTTTTAGGGTGCAAAGAAACTCGGTTGAAACAGGAGAACACAGCTGCCTCTCTGGAAGTTCTGTCACTGGGGCTCATGACCAGTAAATTCAGTCTGCACATCTCTCTTAAATCCAATAATATTTTATTATAAACAGAACCTTAAAAAATAGTCAACAGTTACAAAGCAGTGCTGCAATACAAGGACAAACAGCACCATAGGAGAATTTCAGTACACCCTTCTGAATTTCATCTGCTCCTCTTCCTTTATTCTTATTAAAAAAATCTTCATAAAAGGAGGCTTTAAAACCTGACCAAAATGTCAGTGTTTGTGGGTAAACCTTTTAACTTTTCCTATGGATGCAAACAAAGTGCTAAAGGTAAAACATGAATCAGTCCTCTCGCCAAATGGCCAACTCCTCAGGAGTTACACAGAGACAAACATCCTTGCGCAACAAAGGTTGATGGGGATGGAAGTGCAGGAATGGGGCAGTTCAAGCAATGGCTGTTTTCTTTGGTTCCTCCAGCTTCTTCTGGACCATGTTCAGCAGCGAGTCAGAGTAATGCTTCAGGAGGGCGTGTGCCTCACTGTCCTGGAGGCACCTCAGCCACAAGGACGAGGTGTCCATGGTGGTGGCTGCGTCTGCATTATCTTTGATGTCTCTCGCAGCCAACTCGCTCTTCATCCAGCAGAAAGTGCTGACCAGCTTGTGCTTCACATGGGAGAGCTCCTCCTCGGTTGTTTCATGCCAGGAAGCCACCTGCACAGCAAAATTGGAACACTTTCGGTAGGAATTCTGCCACTGCCATCTGACTGTCCCAGTGCAAGGCGAGGAATTTCTCACCCCTCTTCCCCGCAGCATCATAAAAAATAAATCAATAAAAAGCAATTGGAGTAGGGATGGGAGCAGAGGTGTCCGCAGGATGTGGTCAAGATGGCCGCGCGACCGAAGTTCCACTTTTTTCAACGTGCGCTGCGGCCTTTATTTTTTTGATCACACCCTGTGGAGACCCCAGACAGGAGAGATGATAACAGCAGCATCTTAGACTCTAACCCAAAGGACGTTTTAGGAACACGGCAAGCCCATCAGAGAAAACTCCAACCTTCCATTTTAAGTAATGGGATATAGGACTGCAGGCCTCACCCCTTACCTTATCGTATAGTTGCAGAATCTCCTGAAATTTGGTGCACAAAGGCTGCAAGCTCATTTCAATGTTTTTAACGAGAACCTGAATTTCTGAGAACAAGATGGAAGGGGGGGAAAAAAAGATTTCCATGGTTGGAGATTTACCAAGGGTGGGCAAAAAGAAGAAATTGGAATTGACAGCACTCTTTCTAGCTCAGAGGGAAGGCCAATTGCTCCAACTGATCGTCTCAACTGGCAGTTCAGCTGCAAGGCAAGCCCAAGTGACAGGATCAACCCCATTGATCCCAAGAAAAGAAAAAATGGGTTGCCCAAACTATGTATCTGTTTGTTGAGTCAACTTTCTTACCTGAAGCACAGGATGTTTTGGCATCAAGGTTCTCTTTCATCTCAGAGTGAATTTCTGCTGGACATTTCTAAAATCAGTTGTTTCACAGAGCATTAGTTAGCAACTGAGTGGGTTCTGAGTGCTTTATGTCAGCATCTTCATTTCCCTATCAAGTCAGGAATGTTTGTTGGGGCTTCTTATTCCACGGCTGACTTTATTATTTCAAGAGGTCTGAGAACATACTTTCAAGCCCTTTCTTGGTCCTAAAACACCCACCAGCTTTTGTGCAGGAAGCTGGAAGATAAGATACTCTACGGCATTCACAAAATGTTCCCAGAGCTATTTGGGGGAAGTCATAACTGTTAAAATGTTTTCAAATAATGTAAACTTTGTGAAGATGTCCCTTTCACCCCAGTCATGGAAGTCTGAATCCAAGGTATGTAGTTATTTTCTCTCGTTCTAAATTAAAAAAAAAAAAAAGTTCTCTAAGATCTCAGGCAGAGCTAGAACTTTCCCAGCAGCATTAACAGATTTAATCTGGAACTGAAGGAATTAATCCGGGGAATATCAGCATTCAAACTATTCACTCTGCCAATCATCTAATTGCTGTACAAGGAGTCTGTAGGTGGCAATTAAAAGATTTGCTCCCACAAATGAATGCAACACAACGTGCCTTGAATATCTTGGAATCACTGAGTGGCATGCTGTTCTCTGCCACGTGTTCGGCGGTGGCTGCCTGCGCAAGCGGACGGACCCTTGGGAAGAATGAAGCAGCAAACCTGTGTCAAAGAGAACAGTCTCAGGACAGGTTTTCAGATGAAGCTTCTCCACAAACAGAGGGGTGAGAGGAACAGAAAGACCCAACCTGCAATTCCTCTGGCAGCGAGAGAGAAACCGGGCAGAAATGCTCAGACGAGGGTTCAGGAAGGGGCTTCCCCCTTCATCGCCATCTTCAAACGGCTGCAGATCCTTTATACAACTGTCAAATTTTTCTGCACACAAAAGGGGAAGCAGAGAGCCTGTATGAGTCCCTGGCACCCTGGGCATAGGCAGAAACCAAGAGAAAGGACTGGTTCTCTCTTGGTTCTCTGGACCGGGGAGGCAGGGCCTGCTCTGGACTAGGAGCATCTTGTTACCTGCAGGACTGTCTCCTCCGCATGGAATCTGGCTGCTTGGCATAGGCGAGCCGAAAAGATATGCTGAAGATGCCCCCACCCCTGGCATGAAGTTAAGGAGGAGGGGTTCTGAAAACATGGCTGTCCCAGCTTGCCTCTTGAGGCTTGGGGTTGGCCCCTCTGGTTCTGGAAGAGGGCGAGGGGGTGACATGTTGGGGCTGACAACTCTCAGGTCCAGTTTCAAGTTGGGATGGCATTGGCTGCTTGTAGTGCTTGTTGGCCTTGGACTGTAGGCCATCATGAGAGGCCCTGCGTCTCTGGTAGGGACGGCATATGCAGCTGATAGACAGGCAGATACTGACAAACGGCCTTGCAGTGGCCCTGTCCCCATGGGCCGCCTTGGCTGGTTGATTCTTCACCCCTCCCAAGCCCAGTCCCCTGCCTAAAAACCCACCCTTGAGCCTGGCTGCAAGTTACCTTCAACAGGGGCACCAGCCAGGGTTTCAAAGTGGTGCCTGAGGTATTTCTCCTGCTCTGGAGTCTGGGGCAGCGAGCTGTTCTGCGAGAAGTTCTTGTTGAGGTCGGCCAACTCTGCTTCTGCTTCTACTGTGCAAAGCCAAGAGGAACAGCAGAAAACAAAGGCTCCAGCACTCTGCAGCCAGGTAGCAGAGGGTGCTGGGATGGGCTCCTAGGTCCTGTTTCAACCACTCTTCCTTGATATCCCTCCTGCCAACTGTCTTCCTCCTCCATCAACATGGGCTGTGAAGTGGCCCTGTTTCTCCTCCTTCCCTTCTCCCTAACCCTTGAACGACAATCCTTTCAGGATGGATGACAATTCAGCCCACAGGTTCCCCTCCTCTTTCTCCCAATTTTTCAGAGGGGAGTGGAAAAGACCAAGAGAGGCTTGGTGTTAATCCATCACCGGCACAGAAAAAGTGATCCCTCTTCTATGGCCACTTAAGATCGCTTTTCTCAACTTGGGCGTCCTCCAAAAAGGTGGAGCAGGTCCCAGAATTCTTAGCAATGGCCAAGATAGCTAAGGAATTGTGGGAGTTGAAGTTCACACCTGGAGGGCACCAGACTGAAGAAGGCTCTTTTGACCCGGGTTGTACATTGCAGGAGTTCTAGGACAAACAGTAGCCCTAGCACAACAATCCGTTTGGTCTGGTACAAGCTGGAGAGCCATCAGGCACCAGTGAGGCCTCTTCAGGAAGCTTACCCTCCTGTTGGTGCCCAGAAACAGATACATCAGAATCCAAGGAAGTCAGAGAGCAGATTTTCTCAGGCACCTTCTCTTTGGGGCTTGAAGCTTCCTCCTCAAACACAGGCTGATGGACTGTCCTTTGAAAACAAGAGACAAGAGTGCGGGTGCTTCTTCACGGCATGCCTATCCATTCAGGTTTCAGGCAGAACTCGAGAGGTGAGGGCTCAATAGGTCAGGACAATGCAGACCCTGCAGCCTCTGGCCCTCCTTGGCTCAAAGAGCAGCACGCAACAGGCCGAAGAACCAAGCCTCTTGGGCAGCCTGTGGCTTGAGTCTAGGACTGTCTGCTCAACAGGCAGCAGGGCAGGGTCCCTGGGATTTTTTCCCAAGAACGCACGCTTAAGAATCAGGAGAAACGAACCTCTCCCCGAAAGAAGGGCTACTGTCTGCCTGTGAGACACAGAGGGTGGTCCCACTGGCCTCAACTTCCCGAGCTGCCTCTTCGTCAGAAGACAGACCTGGCTGCTTGAAGTCTTCGGTGAGATTGCTGGGAGAACTCTCAGCCTGCAGGCCAAGCAAAAACATTCCCCCGCCTTCCTTTAGTTCACTCCTTCTCATGACTTTGATATTAAGGGGGCTCCAGGATAAGTACAGACTGTGGATGGCATAAGTGATAAGCTCTGATCAATTCAACTAGTGGGGCATTATGCACAGACTCAGAAATGAAGCTGGTTGTCTGTAAAACCTGCTGGCTATCCAGAGGGGTGCAAGGCAGCCATTTGCTCCCTCAAGTACTCCATTTTCCAGCAGGGCAGCCTTTGCTGCTGCCTCCAGTCACAGGTTTGGGTGGGATGAAACCTGGAAGAGGCAGTTTGGAAGGCTAATCCATGGATAACCTTCTTTGCAAGGCCAGCTGAAAGGAAGAAGAGCCACATGAGCTGAGGTGGTAAATCCCACCCTACAGGACCGACTAAATTCTCTCCAATCCAGAGGGGAGTGGGGGGGGGGGGCTCACTGCAGTTTCTGTGAAAGGAAGACTTGGAGACCCCCCATGAATCTGCTCTGGACTGAGTCCCACTCTGGAAAAGTGGGACTTTTCAGTTCAGCCTTTCCTTCCTGGATCTGTGGAAGAGTAAACTCACCCCTGGGAGTGAACAGGCATTTCTTTTCCCTCCTGCGATCCAGAGTTTTGGTGCTGCTTGGGAAAGAGGGTTAAAACAGCCCCACCTTCTCCTCCAGGGGAGGGTTTGTCTCATAAAAGGGAAGCGAAAGTAAGCATCTGGGTGGCTGGGTGAGTGTGTGGAGTCAAGCCAGGAAAATAGCAGAGAAGTGGGAAAGAGAAACCTCCGACCCAAAAACGAGCAGTCTTCAGGCAGCGGGAGGAAACCGCAGTTCTTGGATTTGCAAGGCCAGCTGAGAGGCAGAGCTGAGAGACGGGCAGCAAAGGAGCCCGACCAGAGTCTGCAAACCCGAGCAAGCCCACTGTGCACAGCAGCCCAGGGGCAGAGTTCCACAAACCAGCTCCAGAAACAGAGGACTGTGAGCACTGGGGGCGGGGGCAGGGGGGGGGGAGAGGAAAGCCCATTCACAAGTCTACACAGTAAAGGGTTTTCACATGCAAATGGACTGAGATTGGCTACAAGAGCTGAAGACCTGGGGAAAAGGAAAGATTTAAAGAGCTAAAAAATAGTTAAGACAGGAAAACGTAGTGCCACAAAACACAGAGATAGGAATATAGACATAGAGATAGAAATTGCAGATTAAATAATGATAGAAATAGTTGTAAACGTATAGTAGTAGGAAGACAGTAGAATAGGATAGGTAGGAAAATAGAAACAAGCATAAAATTAGCATTAACTTTAGAAGGAAGGGAGGGAGGGAGGGAGGGTTGGTTTAATTTTGCACAATAAAACAGTTTTTGTGTGTGAAAAACAAATGCAGTCTTTGGGTCTGTGTTCTACACCATATTAAGAAAACCCCTAACAGGATCCAAAGGTCTTGCTATCTCAGGCAAAGAAGGAATGGGGATCAGCCACACCGGCACTCAGTCAAGCCAAACAAATGCCCCTCCAATACTTTCTACAAAGGAAGCACCTCTAAAAGCAGCTGGTCCAGACTCTGTGGCTCCAGGTCAGAGTCAGCCATGCTGGTGTTTTGAACCGGGGTGAAGTAACTAAGGTCTGCATCCAGGATGGTTTTAATTGGTTCTTTGTCGGCACGTTCAGCCCAGCGCCCTTGTGGCTGGTAGCTCACTCTGGCGTGAAACGGGTTGCTGTCTGAATGATCTGCTTCCCCGAGCTGGGAAGGAAACAGAAAAAGACATCCGGAGAGAGGGATTTCAAAGCCCTGGCTTTGACTGCCCCGCTCAGCCGGAAAATAGACAACAAAAATGCGCATGGGTGGAAGCCAGATTCCTCCGATCAGGTGAGACTTCAATTCCTACCCTCCCCAATGCATAAAGGGAAGTTCAGCCCCACTGGAGAGCACCAGGTTGGGGAAGGCTGGCTGAGGCAATGAAAGAACAGCAAGCACGGGAGTAGCCCAAGAAGCACATCTCCCCTTCTTCCTACTAGCCATGCTCTCTTCCCTCCCCAGAAATCTAGATCTCCTTGCCCTCCGTGGAGCAGGAGGCAATCACACACCACCTACCAGTCTCTTTGCCCACATGGGCAGTTTGCCATTGGAAAGGACACAAACCGGAGCTGGAAAGCAGCATGAAGAAAGACAAAGACGGCATTAGGATGGATGGATGGATGGATGGACAGACTGCGAGGCTACACATTCTATACAGGGAATCCCCCTTTGAGCACCTAATAATCAAACCTACAGAAACGTAAGTGTGAAAGTTTACACAACCTGTCTAAGAAGTTGTGCTCCATAACAACTAGGACAAGGGAGGAGGAGTTGTCTTTTTTTACAAAAAGAGAAAGTTAAAACAAATGATAGATTCTCAGTGTTCCTGATATTATCCAACAATGTTTCCTTCAGTAAGATTTATTAGGAAAACAGAGGGAAAGAGAAAAAAAGACACTTCTAAATTCTTAAGAGATTCTCTTAAGAGATTAAGAGATTCAAAGATGCTGCAGTAGTTTTGCCCAGCTTATCAATTCCAAATCAGTTGAGGTTGCAGCTCCCCAAACTGCAGCCCTGATATATCTGGGGGGTCCAGGTAAGGGAAGGCAATGCAATAAGGAATCCATGTCTTTTTAGCAGCGTGCAGGTTGGGATGGTCTCAGTCCACCTCCCCACCTTCAGCCCTCCTTTATTGCTACCTTAGATAATACGGGTGTGCCCTGCCCCAATGCATACCTGTATCTAGGTCATCTTTAACTGGAGTCTGAAGAGCTGATTCTTCCTCTTCTCCCTCCTCCTCCTCCTCCTCCTCTTCCATGTCAGAATCAACCAGGCCCCTGCAGGAGACCGTACCACTTGGCACAGCCACAAAAGTTTCCAGCCTAAAGACAAAAGTTCAAAGCATCCCTTTCTTTACCCAGCCATGGCAGAGTTTCTGCACGTCCCCCTGACTAAAGAGATCGGGCTGGTCCAGTACCTGCCATGATGAGACCATGCAGAGCCCCTGGCTTCCTGCTGCTCCTGGATCTGATCCAGCTCCCTCAAGTGCTGCTTCATGCAACTGGTAATTTCAGGGCTCAGGTGCCATATAAAGATGCAACTGAAGAGAAGGACGAGAGCTGTTAAAATACTGACACCTGCAGGTGTGGGGCACGCTTGCTGCTCTTTCCAGCCTAGACCTGAAGGCGCCCCACGGCCACAGAGAGCCTCATCCAGAGGTTGGTTCCCCTTAAAGCTGGCCACAAGCCAGATGTGCATTAACTCTCCCACCGTCCTGCCTTCCTGAATGAGTCTGGAATCTCGCAAGCCGCACACGCACCTTGGAGAGGTCAGATTGCCCACCTGTCTCCTGAGACGGTGATCAAATGTTTGCAATCAAAGGTAAATTTCATCGCTGTAACAACTTCTGCAATATAAAAGACACGAATTATTGCACTGTTCCACTTGATTAATGTAAACGAACTGTCTTCTTGGTATCGATTGTATTACTTTTATTCACCTGACAGACCTCTGAGCACGCGCAAAGCACTGGAATAGCCATCACGTGTCTCTGCTGTCCTAATATTTTTGCTGGATAACCTAAGAAATCTTCCTCAGCCTCCATGAGGGCCAGGAATGATGGGAGTTGAAGTTCAACCCAACTATAGGGCACCAAATATCAGGGGAAGATGAATGAGAAACTGTGACATGCTTCCTCACAGAGTTAAGAAGCCTATCAGTTTCACAGGGACTGTCTCTCGACATAGGAATATTTTTTGGAATTTGCCTCCTGCAATCGACACGCAAGTTTATAACACAACTAAGAGGAAGCAAGCAAAGCGAGACAGGGACATGTTTTTTGGAAAATTAAGAGAAACCCCAAATAGCAGCATGGCCAACAAACCTGAGTGCCCAAACATTTTGGCAACACATTCTCCAGAGTGGAAGTCAATGATGGAAATGCTCTTATCGGAGCAACTAGTGGCCAGGAATGTTCCAGAAGGGTCAAACTGGACCTACAGAGGGGTCAGAAACAAGATGCCTTCAAACAGTCTCTTCTCTGCCAATTGCTGTTACTGGCCAAGTGACAGTTATCCCAATACTTGATCTTTCCAAGCCTCTTTGAGACATTATTCTGGAAAAAGTGTCTAATTGCGAGCAATGACCAAACTCGGATTCTGCATGGGGAAAACATATTTTTCTATGTGGCTCCTTTACCTTCAGCAGGGATCCATCATCACCTTGTGCCCCTTTGTAGCACCCCTTCTGCTTCCCACTGACAGTGTTGTATATCCTGGAGGATGGAAATTAAGCTCATGTGAGAGTGTGCAGAATCTTGTTGGCTCAGGGCAGAGGTGTTACAGGCAGGTCAGGCTCATTCAGAACACGCCATTCCTCTCATGAGGAGTTGAAGCCCACACGTCGTCAAGCAGCCAAAGTTGAGAAACCCTGGCCTGAGGTCTCCACTGCACCCCCGATGGAAGTCTTCCCCACCACAAGTTTCTTTCTCCCCAAAGACTGCAGTCCAATTCCTGGCCCGGGGAAAGTTTCATGAGAGGGGAGGGGAAAGCCAATGCCTGCCTCTCTCAGTTTCTCCACTCAGGGTTGGTTTCAGGAATTAAAATTCTGTGGATGACCTAAAATGCTGCAATTCGAGAGGGTGAGGAGAACGGTAGAACACCTCACCTGACATTTCTGTCCTGGCAGGCCACTGCAACGTACTTCTGAGTTATATCAACATCCATGTCGTACAAAGTGGTTTTCTCAGCAACATGGTGAGATCGGATAAAATTAATTCCATCTCCGACCTGGAGTGAGGAACCAGATCCTCTAAGGTCGGGTGGGAATTGTGATCCAGCGTCTTAAAACTATTGGTAACCACCTCCCCACCACCTGACCTCCAGATGGGTCAGGCTTCAGCTGGGAACCAACTGACCTATATAATCAGCCCATACAGGATATAAGCAGAGTGAATCTATACACAGTGATGGCAGGGGAGGGAAAGGCTACTTCAGTACAGAAAGGAGAAAATTAGCAATAGGCTTCTGAACAAAGAGAAGCCGTAAGAATACAAAAGCAACCTGGCTGGATCAGACAGAAGCTGGGTTCTGTAGCGCCCATCCAGATTCCTTGGAGAAGTGCACAGATAAGCTACCCCCAGCATCTTGGGGTCAGTGACAGACTATATCCTAGCATGGAAGTCCTCCCTGACCAGCAGCTGTTTGGATAAATTTGCGCAGGAAAGTTTTGTCAACCTCCTTAAATTAGCCTGAAACGAATGGCCATCGTAACCCCACAGGCCACAAAACTGAGTAAACCAATCACTTATGTTTAATTGAATTTATTTGATTTAGACACAGCCCAACCAACTCTACTACTTATATCCTGCATTTCTGCCCAAACGGCACTCCAGCTAAGAATTATAATTACGTATTAATATAATACAGTATAATGCAATGCAATACAATAATAAATAATTATAAGAACCTTTTGCGCGCTGCGAAAATAGATGCTTTTGTCAGCTCCACAGCTAATCATCTGAATATGGTCATTTCCTATTGGGGGGGGGAAGTTGATGAAAAAAATGTCAAACAGATGAGCCTTCTAATGTTCATTGAATTTATCTTTCATAATTATTTTCTAGATTTACGCTTCACCCTAATCCTTAAAATAAATTTCATCCTTTTCATTATGGGCATCAGCTCCTGTGACCTCTAGCCAACATGGTCTGAGAAAGGCTGAAAGATATTATCAGAATGATTTAAGAAATAGGTTTTCACAGGACCCTGTACCAAGTTTTCTTAAGAAGCGGCTTCCAGAAAAGTTATTGTGCAGGCTTACCAGTGAACTTGACTGCTGTTATAGCTGAGGAATGGTCATCCAAAGTCTGTTCTAGTTTATAGTTGCTCCCCACGTTCAACACGTGAATCAGCCGATCTCGACTTGCTGAGGCCAAGAGCGCCAACCCTACGAGCAGCGGAAAGCAACTTCAACTGCATTTCTTTCAAATGAGTTAAAGCTGCTCAGAAACAGCCCCAAGAATTGCAACAAGAGAAGAGTTCGGGAGACCGAGGCAGCGGTGTGTGTATATGCATGTGTGGGTATGCACACACAACATAACTTATAAAATTTCAGCTGCGCAAATTTCCAGATTTAAAAACCTACCCATTTCTGGCTTGGAATATTCTAAGCAGAGAACTTCTGAATCGTGGGCCTCAACTTTCATCACCTCTACCATAAATTTTAGCTCATGTATCCTGCAAGACAAAACACAATTTTTAAATGTTTAAAAGTTAAGTTATTGGAACCCAAGTTTGGTATTTCTAAGAGGGCATGGTGTGCAGAATCAGAAATACAAAAACCTATCAGTCAGCCACATCCACTTCTCATACCTGTCGCTGTGATGGACAGGCATTTGCAAAGCTGAATTGGCAAGAGAGCAAAATCAACAAGTACGCCAGTGAGATTTTATGGGCATCGATTCCCATATAATGATCTACTTGTTCGATGGACTAGTCGATGCCTTGGTCGGCTGGGAGTGTCAGATACACATAGTCTTGGCCCAATCAGTTCTAAAATGTTATCCAAACGTGGAATATGCCACAGGGGATAGATGAGCATAAGTGGGAGCTGCAAGGAGTGGAAGGAGCAGATCAGATCCAAGACCCACCTCAGATTTCCAGCTCTGTCCCCAGAGGCCAAGTGCTGACCATCGGGGCTAATCTGCATCACCCGGACACCGGATTTCACGTCAAGGTAGCCAACGTTATCGTTTCGATCTGGCAAATTTGTTGCATCTTGCAAATACTGAGTGTTCTTTTCCACATACACAACTTTCAGCAAGTTCTTCAGGAAGGAAATAATATGTTATACCATTTTAAAAGAAAGCCAATCAAAAAGAAAATAAGAGGGACAAGTTTTAACAAGTGATTATCTTCAGCATGTCTTCCAGCCCTTGAAATACACTCAGCCTCATCAATGGAGTGAGCCAATCTGGCAAGAAGTCAACCCTGGATTGGCCTTGTAACAAAGACAAGAAACTTACATCGCTGTAGGCGTTTTTCTTAAAATGTCCAGGCATGTCATTTTCCAAGTTCCAAAACCGTATAGTGTTGTCTGATGAACACGTTAGAAAAGATCCTGGGGGCAAACAGCCTCGGTGGTCTTCAAATTCAGGATAAACCTAAGACGTAGCCCGTAGTACAAGAGAGCAAGTGGGAATATCAGCCGCACAGGGACTGGCTTCTTTTCATCCCTGCTGACGCGACTGTCCTTGTCACAGAATCAAAGGAGCTGAGCTCTGAAGACAAGGGAGACCTGCTCCAGGAAGCAGAGGGCCTCCCTTCCAGCTCAGAGACTTGCTGGTGAAGCCACCCAGACCTTACCCAGTGACTCCCGGAAAATAGTTTGCGCACTGTGTTCCCCTCATTTCCACATGGAAGTAGCCCTTTACCTCAACATTCCACACGAAGGAGCTGTGGAAGAGATCAGACCACACTTTCCCAACATGACCAATGTTCTTCACATCCCAAATGTACACGCTGTGATCCTTGTATACACAAGAGAGCCAGTGATGGCGAGGGTCAAAGACTACAGCAATAGCGTCTGGATAGGAGGCATCTGGCCTTCTGGAAAACACCAAAGCGGGGGGAGGGGTAAGAGAAACACTCCTTTTAATATCAGAATACAAACACTCAGCCAAACTCCTAGTTTATTTCTACAAGTTTACACTACGTAGCTGTTGCAGGGGGCTTAAGCTCTGCACCTAGACTGCAGATGCAAGATCAGAAGAATAAGCTGCACAAGCCCAACTGAAAATTTAGCACATAACGTATGGAAGATTTATCGTAGCTTCGCGATACGAGCCATAATGCGGTTTTTTAAATGTTGCTTTAGCCCAAGATGCAAACAAGAAATCACGCTTTAAAAGCCTGGCCTAGCATTTGTGAGGATTTACCTGCCTGCCGATCCAGAACTGCTGCAGCAGAGCCTCCCCCTGGTTCTGCCCCTTGTCCCCTTGCCCAGGTCCTAGGATCTGGACTGTGTAGACCCTAGCGGTCCTCCTCCTAGCCATGCAGGCCCCCCATCTCCCAGTGGCTGGGGTGGCAGAGCCAGAGCTGGCTTCCAAGCGATGCCTTCTGACTACATTTTTGTCTGCCTGTGACACTAGAAGCAAACAGGCCACCAGCGAGCAGTATTCAGCCGTAGGTACCCACACAGTTGGGAACCAATAGCCCCAAACAGCCTTTCTTAATCCAACGTGCTGGATTACAACTTCCAGGAACCCTATTAGTTGCTCTGGTGGTGTTTCAAGGAAAATGCCTTTGTCTGGGGAAAGCCCAAGGCTCTTTGATTCGCAGAGTTTATAAAGAGGCTGAAAAGCTGTACGTTCCTTTGCACCAGGGGTGGTGGGATTTGAATTCCAGATGGGAGAGGATGCCTGGCTGAAAAACCTGAAGGAAAAGAATGGCAGGAATCAGAGAACAAAGGAAGTTCGAGAGGAAATGTGCTTTAAAAATGCTAAGAAAGTCTAAAAACAGAGGAGGTATATAGGAGCTACACAGGGAAACTGGTATGAAGAGAAATGGATGCACTTTAAAGGAATGCAAGACCTGAATATTCAGTTGGACAAGTCAGTGTGCCAGATATGGGACGGTCGATGGCCTCTTTTCACCAAGGGTTGAAAGAAGTAACCACAGAAAGAAACAAGGCTGTAGATCAGCCAAGTGTGAATTACAAAACAGGCAAAGGGGATCAGAGAGGAGAGGTAAAGTAGCTCGGAACAAAAAGGAAATGCTGCAGGTTCGGTTGCGAAACACTCTTCCCTCATGTGTGGCTGGAAAAATCCCACACCTTTTGACAGAGCTGCTCGAAGGTGGAAACTGAAGGAAGAAAACTCCATGAGATTCGATCTATGTTTGATTAAAGAAAACCTGCTGAAACCTCCAGTGGCCCTTCTGAAGAACAGAAGGGCAGGGAAGAAAGCAGAAAGGGGGGATGGGGAGGTGCTGGGTCTACTGGGTGCCTGTGCATTTTCCAGCTCAGCCTGAGCAATGCAGTACCTCAGTATCCGCTCTGTAGCTACATCGGTGCCCAGGTAGTGGGGCTTTGGCAAATCTGAGAGGTAATGTAAGTTCTGTGCATAGAAGACACGCACGGTTCCATTAGCACAGCCGCAGAAAATAAATTCTTCACTAACACAAATGCAATTGGCTAGAGTCACCTACAGGGAACAAAAAAGTTAATATGAAGTGAGATCCTAAAGAAGCAAGCGTCACGTATTCAACAGCTGTGCCAGAAACAAAAATGGCCCTCTTACCTTCAGATCAATCCATTTTTCCAGGACACGCTTCTCATTAAACTGGCAAAGCAATCCAGAATAGGAAATGCAAAATGTGCTGCCGGCCATTTTGCCCTGCCCACATGCCACGTCACAGAAGATGTTGTTGTGAAGCTCCCCGAGGAGTCCAGAGCGACCAACCAGTGGAACAGTCTCTTTAATCTGTAACAGGCAGTGCTTGTCACAGCCTCTGTTGTGCATCACACAGGTTTGTTTCTTTAATGGATTTTTAAGGCTACCTACTCATCAATGGCTCTGGGCAGCTTACACAAGATAAAAGTAATAATAATAATAATAATAATAATAATAATAATAATAATAATAATAATAATAATAATAATAATAATAATAATAATAATAATAATAATAATAATAATAATAATAATAATAATAATAATAATAATAATAATAATAATAATAATAATAATAATAATAATAATAATAATAATAATAATAATAATAATAATAATAATAATAATAATAATAATAATAATAATAATAATAATAATAATAATAATAATAATAATAATAATAATAATAATAATAATAATATAAAAAAACATTAAAAACAACCATGCTGGAAAGGACAAATCAGATATATTACACCATTGCTACTGCTTAGTGGGACTGTGAATAAATCAAAGCTTGCTGGAAGAGCCAGGTTTTAAGTTCCTTCCTGAAGGCCAGCAAGGTTGGATCCTACAACCTTTGAGGGGGAAGAATATTTCAGAGGGTGGGAGTGGCAACGGAGAAGATCTGCCTTCTGGGTCCCGTGTTGAACTGATGGGACCCAAAGCATGCCAACTCTGTCAGACCTCATTGGATGGGCTGAAGCAGCTGGGGAGCCCTGTATGATGGAAGCCTTTACTGGTGACAATCAGCACCTTGAATTGCATCCGGAAGCTAACAGGCAACCTGTGCAGCTTGCAAAACAGCTATGCCACGTGGGTGCATTGAGGTGTACCCATAACTATTCTGCATCCTGGGCCAGCTGTAGCTTCTGTATGGTCTTCAAGGGCAGCTCTGTGTAAAGCGTATTGCAGTAATCAAGCCATGAGGTGAATCAGGCGTGAAGGGCCTCTCGCTCCAGGAATGGGTGCAATTGGTGCACCATATGAAGGCCCTCCTTGCCACAGCTGCCACCTGCTCTTCAAGCAGGGCTCCAGGAGGACCCTCAGATCGTGCACGAGTTCCGTCCAGGGAAGCATACAGAAAGATGGCCCAGGTTCTACAGGCCAATAGCAATCTCTTTCCAGGACTTAAGAAATGCAGATAAATAAATTGCTCTGCAATTTATTCTCCTTTTATTTTTAAGAGCTTCTAACATTTTAAAGGCTTCTGTTTTATCAAGAAAAATATTGGGCAATGAAAAGAATAAGAACTGTCACAGGCTTATTTCATATAGTAAATTAATCAAATTCATCATTGCCAGTTGTATACAGGAAGGCTTACCTTGACTTCCCTGGAGCCATCCAGGAACCAGAACTTGACATGGCGGTGCCCAACCGTAACAAAATAGCTGTCCTCTGAGAAGGAGATGGCCATCACCTTGCAGGAGACTTTGTTGGATGCAAGGAGGGTATCACTCTGTGGGGAAGAAAATAAACGCCACCCAGCAATTGCTGTAAGATGCACACGGGACATAGGTATTCTGAAACTGGGCTAATACGTTGATGGCTGGGTCGCCACGTCGTGCTCACTGTGGCTTGTTCTAAACACGAATGGGTGGCTAAGCCATAATGTCTGGGTTCTCTTGACAAGCTAAGCCAAACCCAACCAATCATATTAGGACCTTGCGTGATGTGAGAACCATATTAAAGTTCTCCTACTGGAATTGTTTCCGTCCTTTACATCTGGATTCTCCTCCTGACACCGATGTTCCAGACACGTGTGAATGTGGCCTCCCCATGGATCCTGCAGGAGACTTTCTTACCTTCCAATCCCACACATTCACTATCATGTCATGAGGATATCCCACGGACACAAGGTATTTCATACTGGGAGAGAAGGCCACACAGGCCACGCCGTGCTTGTGGCCATGAAGTTCAGACACTTGGGACTTCTCCTCTACGTCCCAGACTCGGACTGCTGGCCGATGCCCGTTCTGTAGGTAGACAACCCAGAAGGGGATTGGAGCAGGCACTCATCTGAGCACGAGTCAACTCAGCCAAGGAACGGCCTTAAAGACTATGCGAATCACTCTTTGCTATATGTTACATATTATATACATACATTCCCATCATGCTGTTCAGAAAGAAAAGGAAGAAGTAATAAGCCAAAGAAATTAAATCTTGAGATGGGAAAAGCAAAGGAAATATAGCTAAATGTAATTTAGAACAACGCCACTCCATGCTTCTCCATCCCTTTCTATCCTGGGTTCTGCCACTTCCACAAACGGCTTCCTGT